CAAAAATCCCGAAATTGGTCCAACCCGACCCCCGGGCCCATGTCTCGTAATTCGATAAAATTAACATCAATGGAACCCTTATCTTCCCACGAGTTCATGCACATCAAAAGCACCAAAATCCAATCACAAATGGCCCCTCAAATCCCTAGATTAAAGTCTCAAGTTTCCAAGCCCTAACTCCCCAATTTAGGCTTTATTTCCCCCAAATTTCATGTTTAATTAGGTAGAAATCACAATAGGACCGAGTTTTAAGTCCAAAATTCTTACCTCCAATAAGTTCTCCTTGATTCCCTCTTCAATCTCTCTCAAAAAACTCCAAAACCGAGTAAAAAATGGTGGACTTGGGCCAAAAATCGCGAAAACGGCCTTTTAAACATTCTGCCCAGCGATTTGAAATCCTTCTTCGCGAACGCGGTCAAAGCCTCGCGTTCACAAAACACAAAATACCATTGACCAAAATTTCTCTTATGCGAACACGACCACCAAATCGCGAACTCAATGCTTCAGCCTCTCGAACCTTCACGAACGCGGTATCCCCATCGCGATTCAATTCCGACCCCTATATCAAAATCTCACCTATCAACCGGAAAACGCCAAAATTCCAATTTCACCAATTCAAGCCTAAATCTACTCCGGACCTCCAAAACACATTCCGATCACGCTCTTAAGTCCCAAATCACCTCCCGAAGCTATCCGAATCATCGAAATTTACATCCGAGCCCTATTTCACATAAGTCAACATCCGGTATACTTTTCCAACTTGAGCTTTCTTAAAAGAGACTAAGTGTCTCAAACCTTACCAAAACCTCTCCGAACCCAAGCCAACCAACCCGATAATACATAATACAGCTGAACAAGACAATAAGAAGCAGAAATGGGGAAAACGGAGCGGTAACTCATGAAACGACCGGCCGGGTCGTTACAATTCCTCTGAATATTCTTTAGAAATATCTTATTGCGAAACTAGCCATTTTGGCCGATCTGAGTGATCGACCTCGACATCGCTGCTCGGCTCGCCAGTGTTGCTTCTTAAGCATAACCTCGGCCTAATTGATTCTCGATTGGGGTGCCCATATTCTTATAAATAGGATGGGTATTTCTCATTTGAACTGTTGCATTTCTAGAGCCTTTGAAACCCGAGTTTTTTCCTTCTTCAAGTTTCCCGTGTATGTGTTTTGTTTCTCCATTCAACATTTTCTGCTATTGTCATCTCCTTCATTTTTGCATTTCCTTTTCGCATACAATCAGAAAAATGGCTAGTGCTTCCTCTGACCCTGTAACGTTGGATGTGGACATACCTCCTCATGAAGAAGAAGTATAGAAGACGAGAACTTTGCCACCATGGATGAGATAATTCCACGTTCGGGGAAGGCCAGGTCAGACTTCAAGAACCACTTGAGGGTGAACCTGAACCCGTCGTTTCTGATATGGATGAGGCAGCGATTGCTGCATTTAGGGCTAAGTGGCGAATCCCGGCCCACGTTGAAATTATCCCTACTGGTAGTGATGTAGTGCAAATACATTGCCCAAGGTACTGCGCATTTTATGCGTATCCGTTTGTTGTTGGCTACACACTTCCTCTTCCTTCCTTAGCAGAGAAGTTTTGTCGTTTTTACAATGTGTGCCTGGCTGAGCTCTCTCTGTACATATACAAGCTTTTTCTTATGCTTATCTAGTACGCGGAGCTGGCCAACCATGGTATTTCTCTTCGCCATCTGCTTCACCTCTTCGCCCCAAGTTTCCAGGGGGGCACGATGATTCATAAGTGCCACCGCGGGACCAAGGGGTTGGTGGTGAAGATGGGCGATAAAACTAATCATCATTTTTTGGGAAAATCTTCTACATGAAGACAGAGCACGTGCGGATTCCCCGAGGAGTGGAACTTTGCTCGTAAGTGTTTTTCTCACAAATGACTTCGTTGTTTATTTTGGGCGATTTGATCGTTCTCCTTCTCTTTTTGTAGCCGAGCGGGATCCTCCTTCGCCAATCGTTGACATTCGTGACTGGGTGAGTCAGATTTTGCCTCATACTGTGGGGATTCACGAGTGGTCGCAATTTAATGAGAGGTTTGAGCGTAGACCTGCGTCCGGTGAGTTACCTTTGACTTTGATAGTTTTGACCTTTATATCATCCTTTCTATCCTTTCTCTTATTTATCTTTCTTCGTTTGTAGATCAGAGGGCTTCAAGGAGGGCGAGGGCTCCTACGCCTGCTTTTCGCCGGTTAGGTATTTCGGTCGGGCCCGTACTTGCTGTGGCTGCAAGTGAATCTGCTCAGGCCACTGCTATTTCTCAGACCCCGACTTTGCACGGTCCTAGTTGCCAAGTTGCTACCACACTAGTGGAGATTCCAGCTTCCACAGTATTTCACTTGGTCGATGAGTTGGACCGGGGCGATGATGGAGAGGCTCTGCTAAAAATGCGAAGGATAGAGGCTGATAGGAGAGTGGTCGGAGAGGAGCCGACGGGGAGTGGACCTAAGTTGACCACAGCCGAGCTGAGGGGTGATATGGCCTTGGATGTAGAGACCGTGCCTCCTTCGGACGTGGAGATAACCTCGGTGGAAGAAGGGGGGCGACTAGAAGTAGTTGCGATCACTCCTTGCAGTGGTCCGTCAATGTTAGGGCAGGCCAACGTTCCATCTTCGGCTAAGGAGAGGGCGAAGAGAGTGATCGTAGATGATTACGAATCTGGCTCTGATGTCAATCCCGAGGAGGTGAGAATATTCGATGAAGGGCTTACACGGGTGGAGATGAGAACGGATGGATCCTCTCGCTAGATCGTAATCTCTTTGGACTGTGATTTGTTTGAAAATACGGTGAGCATGGTCCCCTCCTTCGCTCCTCTTTGCTCTGTCACGGAAAACAAGACCCTTCAGGCGCTCCGGGATTCCGACATGTCACTAGGCATATCTGGCATGGCTCTGAGGGTAAGTTTTTGTATCATTTCTGCAACTTGTCATTTTCTCTTATCTTTACTGGTCTTCTTCTCACTCTCTTTTCTTTTTCAGAATTTCATTTTGGAGATCGAGAGTGCCCGCTGAGAAGAGAGGCGGAAGGTCATTTTTCAGAAGAGGGCTTCGAAGTATGTCCGTTATTATGACAAGTACTGTGAGATGCATGCACGGCTTAGAGCAGGTGGTAATCTCCAGTCCCTTAGAGCCGAGTTGGATCAAAAAGACGAGGAGCTTGTGCGAATTATAGGTAGATGCAGTGAGCTCGAGGGGTTGCTCAAGGCCAAGGATGACGAGCTCGGGGTGAGCAAGGGGGTTGCGGCCGAATGCGTAGACCATCAAGCGCAAGTGGCAACCTTGCGGGCTAAGCTTGAGCAAAGCTCAATTAGAGTTGCCGGCCTAAGTGGTGAATTGACTGAGAAGGTGGCCGAGTTGGTGAGGCCCGATGAGGCTCGGGTAGCGGCTGTGGCAAAGGTGGCGGAGTTAGAGAGGGCTATCCGTGTTCTTAGGTCTGAACGTGCAACCGATGCGAAAATGGTCGCGCTGAGGGAGACGCGGCTTGATGAACGAATTGGTGGGCTTGAGAAAGAAGTTTTGAGCCTAAGTGAGCAAGTCGTCGCCCTTGAGGCTAATAAGGCACAATTGTTGATTCGACCTTCTTCCTCTCATGCTTCCACTTTCCCCGACGTTCCTCGTGATTTGTACGAGATGTGGATCCATGTTGAGGCAAAGCTGGACATATATAGGAGCTTGATGGCGGCGGGGAAGGTTCCTGAGGCAGACTTCGAAGATGTCGTGTTAAGGCACGTGATGCCACGCTTGCTTGTGGTTTTGACCCCGTCACGCCGGGGAACGGTGATGATGAAGAGGAATTGGACGGGCTTGCATCTGATCCTTGGTACGATGACGAGTATGCGGATGGCGCGAGCGAAGGTGGAGATGGTGTTGCTGGGCCGAGCGATGGCGCAGGCGGATATGATGCAGTGTGATCTTGTACTTGGTTTTTTTTTTTTTCTTGCTCTTTTCTTTCTTTCACTTTTTTTTGGAGGGGGTCTTTTTGGCTCTTTGTAAGATACTTTATATTTGGAATGGAATGACTATTGACTTTTTGTTGTATGTTCTTGGCTCTTTTTGCTATTCTTCGTAACTACAACAAAAGGGGCTTTAGCGGCAATACAAAACGGCTTTAGCGGCAATAACAATAGCTGCTATATCTTGTACCGACCATTGGTGTTTAGCCGCTGAAGCCGGGGTCGGCAAAGCCTTTAGCGGCTTTTCTAACAAAAGGTGGTAAAAGGTATAGTTTATTGCCGCTAAAAATTATTATCTTTAACGGTAATTGTTTGCGGCAATTATAATGGCTGCTAAATCCAATCCGAAACGACTAATTATACTCCTTTAGCGTTCATTTAGATAGCCGCTAAATTCAAAATAATTGCCACTAAAAGTTTTTAACTTCAACGACAATTGTTTGTGCCAATTATAATGGCTACTGAATTCAATCCAAAATGGCTAATATGCTCCTTTAGTATCAATTTATATAGCCGCTAAATTCAAAATAATTGCCGCTAAAAACTTACATATTTAACAGCAATTATTTTGTTGCAATTAAAATGGCTATAGTATCCCTTCTAAAAACATCTTAGTTTGCCCTTAGTGTCCATTTTAATAGCTATTGTGTTCGACTAAATTGCCGCTAAAAGTCAATATATTTAACGATAATTATTTTTCAGCAACTATAATGGCTGCAATATCTCTTGTGAAAACATCTTAATTTACCTTTATTTGACCAATTTTATAGCTGGTATATCCAGCTAAATTAGCATTGCAAGTCACAAGCGGTAATAGCAATAATTTAGCCACCATTAATAATAGTTACTACATTCGTCTAAAATATGATCCAAATAATAAAATATATTAATATTAATTCAAAAAATATAATATATCTCATTAAATCTTAACAAAAGGAAGTGCTAATAAAAATATCTTAATGTCATAGTAACTTAAACAATAAACATATATTGTTCGAACAAAATAACTAATGTCATTATATAACTAATCCAAAGTATGATGGTCTTCAAATGATTTCCGCAATTTTTCATCATTTTGAAATCTTCCACCCGCTAAATTATCGAACATTAGACTGTATGACCTGAAATTACAAAATAACTATGTCAAAAGACGAAATATATGCCCCCACAAAAGGAAATTACCGAGACCTCTAGTCCCAGCTATTCTTCTCCAAAAGGGGGAAGTCAGCAAAGACTAGCATTTGCTTGTTTTCACACTGAAAGAGCTAACATCTCAGTTGACAAGCTAATACATATACATGGGAAAATGTTTAGTAGGAGTTTAGACATGAATTCCAAAAAAAGAAAAATCAAATTTGGAATTTCACTAAGATTTGAGTTGAAGATGAAGTTGTGTTTGGTTATAATTTTTGCAACATATTTGGGTGTCTTTTTTTTCAAAACCATAAAACATGATTTATACCCCACAACTTGTAAAAAATATTAAAATCACCCCAATTTGATCATCCTACTTAAAATAAACAATCAAAATGCTATTGTTTAACTGTTATCATATTCTGCTTTACTGCAATACAGAGAAGATGCAAAATCAATATCACATTTTCTAATTCTACTAACACACAGAGAAGGTGCAAAAGCAAGCATAGCCACATTTTTCTCATAACCATATAATCAAACTTCCAGTAGGCAGAGTTCAAGTTTCAACTAGGACTGATGTTCCACCATCAGTCGCCACAGACGTATCTGCCAAAGATGAAAAACTGACTGGGTCATTTTATAAATTTTAAAAATATGGGGTAAATTTGTAAAACTAAAAACTAGCAAATTTTCATTTTCAATTGAAAAACTGGTGAGAACCACTTTTTCAAATTTGAAAATGAATTTTCAAGTGAAAAAGAAAAAATTTGGTAAGAATGGGATAACCAAACATTGTTTTAACAAAAAAAAATTGAAAAAAAATGAAAAAATTTGTATGTCCAAATGGGCTCTTAGTAACACTCACAAGGCAACAATCAAATTTAACAAAGAGATAAACTGATAATGTCTTTGTGAGAGGAGTTCGATGTTAGGAATGATTCAAAATAACCTTGAAACAGGTCATGAGATAAAGTGATGATATTTTTGGAGCCATGAGTTTGATGATTTGGAATGATGCAAGAACATTAGACTTGGAACATGTCATCATAGTATATGAACATACAGTTTTAGATAGTAAATAGAAATATTTAGCAATTAAAATTCCAGAAAGTCTATTGTACACTCCAGAGAAGACATGCATGAAAAACTCTGCTTCACTCTTATGTTCCAATTGTATAATACAAATTTTTATTCCAATAAAAGATACCCTCTGTCCACCTTCACTCTTATACACTAATTACTCACTTCATTCTTTGTATAACCATGGCAAAAAAATGTAGCATGTGTTTGTTAAGTGTCATGGATCATCTTTGGTTTCACCAAATTAGCCTCTTTTTAAAAAAAAACCTTCAGTTTTATTTCCTACAAACCAATGTCAAACAACATTAATTCCACACGAATAATTCTCATTAGTTGAATTAGATAGCACTCTTCTACAGGTAACAAATCATCTCCTAGTTAGGCTAATATTCTCTATACCCCTAACCTTTTAGTGTTTGCTAACCAAACAAGCAGATAGAAGCAGCACTCAACCAAGAAAACAGTCCCTTGAAAGTCATGATTTTCATCAACAAGAAGATGAGTGCAACAGAAGCTTCTGGTTTACGATCCATCTTTTAGTCCCATAGAAATATCTGATTTTTCTTACTTTGATGGTGTTAAATCCACAAAAAGGTGAATGTGATTCAGGCAGGAAACTACTATCACAATTTTACGACATTCACAACAAGTGGGAAAAGGAAATATATAAAAATAAGAAGTATCCAAGTAAGCCTAAATACAATAACAAATTAACAAAAATCGAAGGAGAAAAACTCAAACAATAGCAACGAAGGATAAAGACGAGTATTACTGTGAGAAAGTTGAGCATTTTCAGTAACACTAGGTATCCTTGATGTTTGTGATACTCGTTCATGTCCAATGTTAGCGTCAGGGATCTAATAAATATTAACATGTTAGGTAACAATACTTTTATATAATTAAAATTTAATTAAAGTGTTTAAAGCTTATAAAATTGAGTTACCTATTCACCTGAGGTGGAGTTGATGCATTTATTAAACGGCACATCAACTCCCTTCTCCGGTGAAAGTTTCCAAATATCTTTCAGTAAAGTAGTCCCGCAAATCTTTTTTGCTTCTGAATTACCTAAAATAAAAAAGATCTGAATCATCTGATGACATCAAGGATCCTAACTCCTGATATTACGCTACTGAAAGGGACTAGCAAAGCAGGAATATTATAATAAATGTCACAACAATATCAAAAAATTACAACAAAATGCTCATATTGGAACTAAAGTTAAGGCTGTAGGAAATCAAGAATCATCACATGAAAGGAAGCAAGCAACTGATCCTAATGCCGAAGTTTTGTTAGTTTCACAATGTGCAACACAACCAGAAGATGCAGACCCAATGAACTTTATGTAGATTTTCCCGTTACTGTGCGACAAAAATACAAATACACAAATAGAAGAGTGTCCTAATGTCACGACCCTAAAATCGACCCGGTTGTGATAGCGCCTATTGTGAAACTAAAAGTAAAAGCAGCTGAGCAGTAAGAAAACAGGTAATCTCACGTTCTAGCACTACAGGAAATACAATGCATTTCCAAAACAGTCCAGAAATCAAATATATCGTAAAAACAACTCAGTTTCAGTAAAAATCCCTTTCTTTTAAAATATCTTTCAAAGGTTTTAACAAGTGAATAAAACAATGAGAAAAATGATAGAAACGTAAACAGCCCCTCGGGCAAAGCATGTACCATAAACCGCCCCTCGGGCGAAATATCAACAAACCAGCCCCTCGGGCTACCTCACAATCACTCGTAATCAGCCCCTCGGGCAATATCACATCACTCACACTGGGTACCCGCGCTCACTGGGGGTGTACAGACTCCGGAGGGGCTCATACTGCGCTATAACAAGTCATCTCGTAGCATAATCAATCAGGCCATCGGCCTCACATAACAAGCCACCTCGTGGCATAATAAATCAGGCCCTCAGCCTCTCATATATCACAAATCAGTACCACATGCTGTGGCGCGCAGCCCGGTCCCATGATATCCTCACAACACAAGCCCTCGGCCTCACTTAGTCAGATCTCACTCAAGCCCCTCGGGCTAACAGTAAAATAGGTACTCGGCTCAAAAATATCATTTATAAAATCAAAAGGAGTAAATAAAATCCGAGTTATGAAATCAGTGAAAGCATAGCATGACTCAGTGTAAATATTATCAAAATCAGTGAGGAAACAGTAGTGAAAAGCCCCTAAGGGTCCAAACAGTCGGCACAAGGCTCAAACACGACATTCAGCCCCAAATATAGTAATACTTTCCAAAACACAATAATATCACACACTTTTCAGTTAAATACGCGACTTAATAGTCGTACGGGATGGACCAAGTCAAAATCCCCAATGGTGCACGACCCCACGCTCGTCATCTAGCGTGTGGGTCACCTCAAAATAGCACAACGATGTGAAATGCCCATTCCATACCCTCAGGACAACATTTACAATAATTACTTACTTCAAACCGGTCCAAACTCTAGCCCGCGATGCCTTTGCCTCTCGAATCGGCCTCAACTCGCCCCGAATCTATCCAAAATCAGAATCATAACATCAAAATAGGCTAAAGGAACAAAGCCCACGCGAAAATATTCAAATTACATCGAAAATTCCGAAATTGGCCAAACCCGACCCCCAGGCCCACGTCCCGTAATTCGATAAAAATCACACCACTAGAATCCTTATCCTCCCGCGAGTCTATACATATCAAGAACATCAAAATCGGACCCCAAATGGCCCCTCAAATCCTCTAATTTACACTCTCCAATTTCAAGCCCTAATTCTCAAATTTTAGGCTTTAAATCCCATTAATTTCATGCCTAATTAGTTAGAAATCACCATAGAATCGAGTATTGAGTTCAAAAATATTACCTCCAAGTGTTTCCCTTCAAATCCCTCTTCAATCTCTCTCAAAAAGCTTCAAAGCCGCTAAAAATGGTGAGAAATGAGCTGAAAATCGCGAAGGCAAGAATTTATATGTTCTGCCCAGGGGTTCCGCATCTGCGGTCCAATACCGCACCTGCGACCCCCGCACCTGCGACAAAAGGTCCACATCTGTGGAATTTCACTTAAACTTCCCATCCGCACCTGTGATCAAGCCTACGCATCTGCGGGCTCGCAGGTGCGACCAACCTTCCGCATCTGCGATGCATCCCCAATTACTGGCCTTCGCTCCTGCGATAGAAATGCCGCTTCTGCGGCTCGCACCTGCGGTCCCCAATCCGCAGGTGCGGTTATGACAGAAACACAGCAGCTTCAGCTGCAACTCTAACTTCCAAACTTTTCGATAACCATCCGAAATTATCCCAAGGCCCCCGGGACCTCAACCAAAAGTACAAATAAGTCATATACCACTATTCAAACTTGTACCAATCTTTGGAACACGCAAAACAACATCGAATCATCAAAACACCCTCGGGTTCAAGCCTAAGGATTCCAAAACTTCCGAATTCCGCAAACGATCAAAAAGTCTATCAAACCTGATCCGAATGACCTGAAATTTTGCACACACGTCACAAATGACACAACGGACCTACTCCAATTTCTGGAATTCCTTTCCGACCCCGCTATCAAAATTTCCACTACCAACCGGAAAATGCCAAAATTCCAATTTCGCCAATTCAATCCTAAATCTACCACGGACCTCCAAAATACATTCCGATCACGCTCCTAAGAGCAAAATCACCCGACGGAGCTAACCAAATCATAAAAATCCTAATCCGAGATCGAAAGTCAAGACTGAGTCAAACCTTTCAAATTTAAAGCTTCAAGCTGAGAATCATCCTTCCATATCTATTCCGATTAACTTGAAAATCAAAACCGACGATTTACATAAGTCATAATACATCATACGGGCCTAGTCATGCCCGAGAACTGGCGAGCGAAGTGCAAATTCTCAAAACGACCGGTCGGGTCGTTACACCTAATAAGTTGAAAGAAGCTATCTTCAAGGTTGCTATACGTACACAAGCCAAGAGAAGCATATGTTACCCAAAAAATAGAACTGTTGTAGCAGAACTGCATAGTTGTCCTTCTGCAGTTGTTGCACAATTGTGTAGTTGTCCCTCTACTGTTGTTGCACAAGTGTGCAGTTTTTCTTCTACAGTTGATCATTAGTTTTAAGTATAAACTCATGATCCCGAACATACATCTTAACAGTTAACAAAGAGAAACCACATCTCTTGTCTTCAAGATTAACTAATAGAGTATCAGTTGTATAACAATATGCTCACTATGTATAGTAGGCTCTATTGAAAAATATCAGCTCTACAATGATAAAGATTGATGTTTAATCCACCCTACAGTCCTAAGAATTTAACTATTAAAGGAAAGAGAACCAATAGAACTAGACAAAGAACTTTCCCTTTATGTCAACACCGTGAGCAGCACCTCATGTCTGAATATTTGTATTATCAAATATTTCAGCACGTAATGTTCCAAAGTTTTTGACTTGGTCTCTTTGTTTCTTATCCTTTTTCTTTTTTGAGAAGGATAACAAATTATATTCCATTAGAACAAGGGTAGTGGAGGAGCCATATTTACAATTCACAAAAAGAGCTCAAAAGTTCCCTAGTTAATCTTTACAGGGATTCTATGATGTTTAACAGTGACTCTACTTCTACCAACTCCTCTTTACACCAAAAGTGAAATAGAAGAAAGCAATTCATCTTAATATATAGTTATTTGTTGTGTTCTTTCATGAAGTCCAATCATTCAAGAGCAGTTAACACGAATAAGCATCACAAATATGCATTGTTATTTAGAGATCATAATCCAAATTACTGGGAAGAACAAATTAATGTGACTACTCAGAGCTTTTATTGATTTAAGATGTAACTTCACATTTTTCTGGTGAGCCATGACTTTCATTACACCATGATTGATACCGCTAAGAGGGATATGAATTTAGTAAGATAATCTTTCTCGAACTCCATATACATATCGTAGATGTCTTTGCATGAGAAGGATTTATAAATTTAAAACTTATATTCTCTAGCTACACATGTATTTCAGTTAACAAGAGTTTTCCTCAATATTATGACTTCTAATTCATAAAGTAAGACACTTCAGGCTACTAACTTAGGTACAGCATTTTGGACATGACACTAACTTTTCTCCTTTTTACCTTACAATCAGAAGTTTGATTATAAATTGTCATACTCTGTTAACATTATTACTATATCATCATCATTATTATCACTTTTGGAGGTGTTTTTCTTATACTATTCAATAATACTAAATATTTTCCATGTCAGTCATTGCATTGTCCTGTATTTTCTAGAAATACGGTGTCACATGTTTGTGTTGTTTAACTCAACATTCATGATAAATTACTTTCCTACTTTTATTGTGCACGTTTTCAGGAATAAATAACAGCATTTACATCAGCATATGTAGTCTAACGATATTATAATTCATGTATTTCTCCCTGAATGAAAGTCAACCGTTCATCATTTCTAACGTGTACAACTAGGGCTCACCTCAATGAAAGTAAAACATGCTGCCTTTAGTAATATAAAAGATAAATGATATCCATTGCAGTAACACTAAGGATGAGTAAGTGAATGGATCAAAAATAGCAGAAGAAGAGGCTTTTAGCGTGTATTAATTTAATATTTAAATAAATAAACTTAAATTATTCTTTTCTTAAGTAGTAGCAAATCTTAAAAAAATATTTTCCTAGCATATCAACTACTAAGTAACAGTTGTTATACCCCATTATAATACGGGTCAAACTAGAGTATAACATATTGGTAATTCTGAGGTTTAATAAATTAAAAGAGTCGCCACCTAATTATTTTAACGATGAATTAGGACACCAATTTTAACTAAGTAGTGCTTAAAGTTAACTTTGTTTTATGATCTGCTTAACTTAAGAGTATGGGTTCTAATTAATCATATAGGGCTATGGATAATGGTTCTAATTAATTATATAGGGAAGGTTATTAAGGCACCCTATATGATCCGTTAATTACGATTAACCGGTCAAACTTAGGTTAATTATTTAAAACTCAGAGAAAGAAATAGTGTTGTACTTTGACATGTTTATAGGAAAAACAATCTAAAAGTCGGTGATTCAAATTTGAAATACTTTTGGTGAATGCACAAAAGTTTATAACTAATGAATATGATTACTGTAACCTTGACGTTATAAATGGATCTTCAAAAACGACTTTTGTTTTTCCAAGAAAGTGACTTGAT